CTTCGGTAAGCCTTGCAGGGCCCTGGTCCGCCATGGTAAGCACTGTAGAGTTTTGCTAAAAGTTGGTAAGCTCCGCTGAGCCCCGCTAAGCTTTGCCAAGCAGGGCTAAGTCTTGCTAGCCCAGGGTAAGCATGGCTAAGCCCTGCTCCGCCAGACCAAGCGTTTGCAAGCCTGGGTAGGTCCTGGTGAACCCTGGTAAACTTTGATAAACCCTGCTGAGCAGTGCTAAGCCGTGCTAAGCCTTGGCAAGCCCTTCCAAGTTCAGCCCTGCTCTAAGCGCGGGTAAGCCTTGCAAGGCCTTGCAACGCCCTGTTCAGCCTGAACAAACCAGGCTAAGGCCTTCTCGGTTGTTTCAGCCTTGGGCAGCTTTGGTCAGCCCTGCAGAGCTCTGGTAAGCCATGCAACGACCTGCCACACCTTGGTCTGCCATGCGAAGCCCTGGTACGCCCTGCTAAGCGTCGCACAGCCTTGTTGAGCCTTGGTAAGCATGGCTACAGCCTGCTCGCCTTCGCCAAGCATTGCTAAGTTCCGCTAAGCCCTGGCAAACCCTATCCTGCCAAGCTCTGGTAAGCAGTGGTAAGACTTGGTAACTCTCGTAAGCAGTGGTTAGCCCTGTAAATCCGTTGAAGCTCTTCCGTAGCCATGCCAAAAAATGCAAAGCCTTGCTGGGCCCTTGTAAGCCGTGCTAAGCCCCTGTACGCGTTGGTAAGCCGTGGTGTTTGTTGGAGTTTTGATGGAGCCCCCAGTGGATCCCAAAAAGAGCCATGTTGGAGTCTCACAGGAAACCGTTTGGAGTACCATAGGGAGCTTCCCAACTGAAGCCAAATAAGACCATTGCGTTCCATGGGAACCCAATAGGGCTCCCATTAGAGTCCACGCATTGGCGGCCTGTCGGTTGGGACCCAAAAGGATGCCTACCCGTATCCAAGAGGAGCCCGATTGTATCCCAACAAGACCATGTCTGTTTCGCTTCCGGTGGGTGATCCTGTTGGAATGCAATAAGGGTTCCTCCTCATAGAGCCCGACGAGAAGCGTATTGGGAAATCTCCGCCACCGTGTTTGCCGCACGTTGGGTGCGTTAGAATGCGCGGTTACCCCCTTGGGGGAGCGATTTTTTCAAACAAACATTTGTTCCAGGGCCGCGCCCCACAACCACCACCATCACCACCACCACACCTCGCCCACGCACCCGCCCACCCCCCGCCCTCGACCCGCGCGCTCCTCGAACTGATTGCATCCTGAATTCCTTCTCTGGCGCTCTGTTCTGCTTCCAGTATTCGTCACGGTAGTGCTGGCCATAGTGGTAGTATTTGACACGGTGGTGTTCTCCATAATGGTAGTGGTCGTCACGGTGGTGTTTGTGGTGCTTGTCATCATGGTGGTACGTGTCACGGTGGTTCTCGCCATAGTGGTAGTATCCGTCACGGTGGTATTGGCCATAGTAGTAGTATTTGGCATGGTAGTGTTCGCCATAGTGGTAGTGTTCGTCACGGTGGTGTTGGCCGTAGTGGTAGTGCATGTCACGGTTGGGTTCGCCATAGTGGTAGTATTTGTCATGGTCGTGTTGACCATAGCGATATTATTCGTCACCGTGGTGTTCGCCATAGTGGTAGTAGTGGTTTTGTAGTGGTGGCAAGGAGCGTCTTGTTTTTGTTCAGATACGGTGGTAATGTTTGTCCATTTGGTGCCAGTCAAGGTAGCGATTGTCGGGGTGGTGCTGCTTGTCATGGAGTCCGCGACGTAAATTGCACGTCCACCACCGCAAATACAGCAGGCTTCCACAGCCGAATAGTCCATGCTCCCAAAATCCGAAGGGATAACCGATGGTGACATTGCGAGTCACTAAATACCTGATCGGCAGGTGCCGTGCACGAGGCCTCGTAGCCGTCGCAAGTCAGCGCTCTACCATGATTCCAAAATGCGGGATTGTTTGCGCAGCCTTGCGTCGCATGAAAGCGTGTTTCAAATGTCATCACCGCCAGGCACAACGCGGTTAACACCCCATGTATGTTGCAGTGAAAATCACAAGGACTGCTCTTGCGCCAAGGACACATTGATATGTTGGAGAACATCCTACACGTTTCAGAGTGAATACTACGTGTAGTCTTGAGCACGGTTATGCTTCAGACGCACGATGTAGATCTCAGGTCCAAAACGGGCCAGCATGTTTCAGCCAACTTGGCTAGGGAGCCACATGCGTATATACAGTTCATATAGAATGAGATAGTAGATACACTGGTGCGCTGGCGCTTCGCGGCACGCACTTTGGTCTTTCAAGTTTTGCACATGTTGGCATGTGGCGTAATCCTTTTGGGCCTTTGAAGTGTGCCATTCCTTTTCAAGTCCCTTGCCTGTTCTTTATTTGCTCTCGCCCTCGATTCACACGTTCGTGCGGCACCCGAATTCTTTCTTGAGGCGCTTTGCGATTCGAGTTTCGAGGCGGGCCCGATGACGTGACGACGAAAACGCCACCTGGAGGCTCTGAAAAACGTGGAACCAAAATCGCGCACCCTCTTCGCTAGATCCTGCGCCTGCAGGTGTCGCCACGGCCTGCGTGTCGATTGTTGACGCCGCTTGA